CAAAAAATAGAGAAGGGAGGACGGATTCTTCGAAAATAAACCCTAGAAGGACAAGAGGCGCTAGCACGTCGTTCGTGATTGAGAGCTATTCGTGTGGATACCGGTAGAGGAAGCCGACTGGAGTTGTTGACTTCGAGCGATAAAAGAGACGAGCAGAGGCATCCTGAACAGCGGAATCCCCGAGCCACCAAGAGAACGAACATCGAAGGTAATGCTTCTTACTACTTGACTTAAACACGATCGGTAGATCTGGGCAAGGGATTGAAAATTTTAAAGTTTATTCCGTTGCACGTCTTTCAATTCCCTTCATCCACACCATATTTCTCGTGTCCTTCCCCACCTGCTCCACCTGCGGAGGAGGATGATATTCTGATATACTCTGTCACTTCACCATCACCATCGTCGCAAGCATCCGCTCCCGCACCTGTTCAACCATTTGATCGTGTGTATACACGATGGTCACAAGAGATTACTACTGCCACGCCAGCTTCTATTCCTCCCTTGTCCGCTTCGCCATCAAATCTTGAGTTGAGCAACACTGAACCTCGTTCTGACCCTAATCCTGAGACACCTCCTGTTCTAGACCCGGATGCCTCTCTTAATCTACCCATTGCCCTTCGCAAAAGTAAATGTACTTGTGCCTATCCTATTTCCTCTTTTGTTTCCTATGACCACTTGTCTCCTGTGTCCAGTGCCTTTGTTGCCTCCCTCGATACTATCTCTGTGCCCAGAACTATTCGTGAAGCCTTGGCCCACTCAGGTTGGCGTGCTGCAATGGAAGAGGAGATGGCAACCCTTGATCTGGTCTATTTACCGGCAGGCAAAAAGGCCATTGGTTGTGAATGGGTGTTAACTCCGAAAACTAAGGCTGACGGCACACTTGACCACCTTAAGGCTCACCTTATGGCTAAAGGTTATGCACAGACCTATGGCATTGATTATTCCAAAACCTTTTCTCTCGTTGCTAAGCTCTCATCTGTTCGTCTATTCATCTCTCTGGCTGCTACTTATGATTGGGATCTACATCAATTAGACATTAAAAATGCCTTCTTGCATGGTAATCTCCATGAAAAGGTCTATATGGAGCAACCACCTGGGTTCGTTGCTCAGGGGAGCGTGGGAAAGTATGTCGTCTTAAGAGGTCCTTGTATGGTTTGAAGCAAAGTCCTCGTGCATGGTTTGACCGGTTCAGTACTGTTGTACAGAAATTTGGCATGAGCCAAAGCAAGTGCGATCATTCTGTGTTTTATCAAAGAACAACGGCTGGCATGATTCTCTTGGTGGTGTATGTAGATGACATTGTGATCACAGGCAGTAATGGTTCGGGCATCTCATCCCTCAAGTCCTTTCTTAATTCCCACTTTCAAACGAAGGATCTGGGCTCTCTGACATACTTTCTAGGTATTGAATTATGAGAAGCAAGAAGGGCATATTACTGACACAGCGCAAATATGTTCTTGATCTACTAAAGGAAACTGGAAAGTTGGGAGTAGCACCGACTAATTTTCCTATGGTTCACAACCCACTCCTTGACGCTGATGGGAGCATACCACTCGATGACTCTCTTGATGCTGAGAAACGGATGCTTGAGGCTCAAAAGAGCAAACCATTTGAGAATCCTGAGAGGTACAGGAGAATGATTGGCAAGTTAAACTATCTCACTGTAACTCGTCCGGACATTACTTATCCAGTCAGTGTACTGAGCCAGTTCATGGCGTCCCCAACTGTCATACAATGGGAAGCCTTGGAGCACGTGTTACATTATTTGAAGGGATGTCCAGGTCGTGGGATATTATACAAAAATCATGGCCATACAGACATTGAGTGCTTCTGTGATGCAGATCATGGTGGATGAAAGGCCACGAGACGGTCTACTATAGGATACTGTGTCTTTGTGGGCGGGAATCTAGTATCCTGGAAAAGCAAGAAACAAAATGTGGTGTCCAGATCGAGCGCAGAGGCAGAATACCGAGCTATGGCACAATCTGTATGTGAGATAATCTAGATATATAAGCTATTAAAGGAAGTTGGCCTCAAAACCACTTTGCTAGCAAAGCTGTGGTGTGACAATAAGGCTGCCCTATATATAGCCTCTAATTCTGTGTTCCATGAACATACCAAACATATTGAGATTGATTGTCACTTTATCAGAGATAAGCTTAAAGAGAACTTCATCTCCACTAGATATGTGCGTTCTAGTGATCAATTAGGCGATCTTCTGACTAAAGCTCTGAATGGGACTCATGTTAACTATATGTGTGACAAGTTGGGCATGATTAACATTTATGCTCCAACTTGAGGGGGAGTGTAGAAATATAATATGATTTGATATGTAAATATTATGTAATTATAATTAGGATTTGATAGGATATGATATTATCATAATGAGCCATTAATGCAAAGGCTCCCCTCACTTATATATATGTGTGTATATTCTGATCAATGATATACAAGAAAATTATTTTCCATATTCCTTTTACTACAGTTTTAAATATCTATAATAGACTATCTAAGTCATTGATTGTTTCTTTTTTATCATGAATTTCCTTTGCAACAAGTTAAATGATAACTACTTCAACCATTGTCTTTTTCTACCATAATAGTGATTAAAAGAGGTTTTAAAGTGAGTAAATTCTTAGTTTTAGGGTGTGGAGTTTATATCCTCTCCCCCCCCCCCCAAAAAAAAAAAAAAAGGAACACTAAACGCCCAAACCAACCACAAGATTACCAAGAAAAGATCTATACCTGGAAGTGTCAGAATGGATCCAATGAGACGCAGTAGAAGCATGCTTGGTTAGACTAACATGGACTTTGTGATTGTCCAAGTTGATAACGAAAAACCGATAGTTTGATCTAAAGATTTAACTTCACGAATATAAGGACCCATAACCAAAGAGGTCTGACACCCGCAGAAATCTTGATCCACAAAACACTAAAAGAAATAGATTATTTAACATCTCAAAGAAAAGATATAACCAGACGTTTTTTATCAGAGGAGACCAAACATTAGCCACTGTTGCTCCTTTTATTGGTCTTAAAATTGCTGAAATTAATCAGAAGGATAAGAAAGCAGGATTTGATTTGATTTATAGAAACCCACGTAAAGGTAACTCTTGGCTCTAACTTGAGCATCCTCAGGTTAGAGTTTTCAGTTTGAGAGCATTTAAGTCCTGAAGTACCTTTCATTGATTGGTTCAAGAAACGCGCAAGTATTCAGTTGCCGGAGTGATTTCTAGCGTCCTACACGCCACCCCCTTAGAACACTGTTTTGAAAAGGCTGTGAGATCACTTGGTTTGTAAATCAAATTGCATGCGAGAGATCTGTCTCTAAATGGCTTTCAATCACGCAAGATTGCGTAGATTCAGCTTCACTTGCCTCACACCTCACCTTAGACAGAGAACAGGAGCTTTGCCAATAGGTCATCACTGCGAAAATCTTCTCAACATTCGCACTTCCATATGTACTTATAGGAGACCGAGGCCGCACCTGCGATAGAAGGGGAAAAGGCCAAATCTGGCGAGAAGCTTCAACTATTTCGAGAGAGGGAGATAGAGATGGACTTGCAGCGACCTAACAAGGTAATCAAAAGGCGAATTTGTGACAAGAGATACCCGTATCTTCTACTTCGGACTTTCTTCCCATGGATCAATAAAAATAGTTAAAGAATATTAAATTTATTATAAAATTTAAGTAATTTTTAATATTATTCTCATTAACTACACTAAATTCTAATATCATATTATTTTCTATCATCTCACCACCCTTTAAATATAAAAATATATGAAAAAAATATTTGATATTGTGAACCAATTTCCACCATCCGCATGATCTGAATAGTTCAGTTTTAATGTGAAAATTTTCGTTTGATGAGGAAAACAAGTATTAAACACAAGAAACGAGATAGAACATATCAATTATTGGGCAAGAGATTTTACTCGTAATAGGCATTTAAACCTTCATCAATCTGGTTCTTATCCAACACAAGATTACATATAATTTATAAACAATAAATAATTCAACTCATTTCAGTCTCCAAATAGGCAAAAGTGTCTTCCCCTTGTTGGTTCAAAGGTCCCACTCTAGTCCATAATAGCATCCTCAACCTCACAAGGTAGTGACAGTAAAGGGTAGGCAAGAGAACCAAGATGAGAAATGAAAAGCCAAAAAGAAGTGAAGAACAGAATCACATTACGTGGTTGATGTTGCCATGTTGCGGCTAAGGGCAAGGGGATAAATGGCCTCTTTGACAAAATATCTATTCACATCATCTTGCTGGTTAGGAGTGGACTAAAATGGCAGCTCCATTTCTCTTGTTAAGAGGGGTATAAGGGTTTAAGGTTATAAGCGGAATCAGACCCACAATTTCTTACTTATGAGGGAGCTTTTAAGCCATTAGACTACAAGACCATTGGCCTAAAATGAAAACGATGCATGAAGAGGGAAACACCGTTTACCAGCCAAGGCAAAACGGTGCAAGCCATCAATCCAGCATCCAGTCCAGATGGGGATGAAAACACGTACAGATTCTCTCGTGCAGGAGAGAGAGAGTGAAAGGAGAGATGGGGTGAGATTCACCAAACAAATTTTGCTAGGCTCACTTATATGAGAAGTACTAAGTACTAGTCCTTTTTGAAGGGCATTCAGGACCGAAAGGCACAGGATACTTTCAAGCTCTAATGAAAGCTATTATTAATTTATTAGATTAGACGATTTGATCAAATATTGAAGTTCTATTGAGAATACAGAATAAAAATGAATAAAGAAAAATATAGAATAAATTGAACTCAATTTGTAACAGACGTTGAAAAGCCAAAAAGGAAATATATTCACAACACATTCATCATGCAGCCTAGAATTAAATCACTGAAGTCAAAGCATCTTATGCAACTTACAGAATCTAGTACATCACAATATCAGATCTTGAGTGAATCTCCAGCGACTTACCATCAACGCTCAGAAAATACGTAAGCACTACAGCTATGAGGAAGAATCCAGAACTTTCAGTGTTGCCTTGGCTGAATCAAGTTCTTCTACATCCCAGCAATAGTTTGGAGAGAAAATATTATCAGGACTTCTTTTTTGGCAACTTAAAAGCATTTGGCTTTATTTAAGGAAAGAACAAAGTCAAATGGTAATGATTTCTTACTCTGCTCCATTGCTGTTGCTTTTTGGATAGTTGTCCGGAAAAATAAGTTCCCATTTCTCTGATAGACAGCCTACATTAGGAAAAATGAAATCCTAAAGTTCTTTGTGTGTCTTCTCAAGCCTAGCCAGTTACAAGGAAGTGCATGTTTCCCTGACACAAGGGAGAGAAAGAACAAGAAGTAGAAGAGAAAGTAATAACTAAAAAGAAAGAGGTTGTATAACAGAACAATATTATTATTCATAGCAGGTAGGAAGTGACCAACAGACAAACAGATCAAAACAAAGTGACCAGCCGTCTTTATGATACGGGAACTAAATTGACAAGATTACAGGTTATCATTTCGACCATGGTTATCTATATTATATAGCTTGTCATCATCTTGTCCTGGTTAAAATAGGTTATTTTTACTAAGCAATAGGGCTTCAATGATAAGTGCTACAATGTTCAACCTTCTTAAACACATACCCACAGGACATCCATCATTTCTCCACCATCACATGAAGAACACTCAAATCTAGGACAAAGGGGGGTGGGGGGCGGGGGGGAACAATACTTGAAAACTGAGACATGGCATAAAGAAAATTAGTTTTCTTTTCCACCTAGACATGTTTTCCCCATATACTTCAGGGAATTTGAGGAATAAGTCACATTGTTCATGGATTATACTTCTTTGGTTCCCAATACAGGTTCATTTTAACAACGGCGTACAAACAAAAACTGATAGTTGAATGGATGTCAAATAACTAAAGACATCAAATATTTGTAAAACTTTCCAAATCTACCGTCAAGACTATATCAATTATTATGAATTACTCCTCCGGTCCTAAATATAAGACCCTTATACACACTTGTACAAGGGTCTTATATTTAGAATCAAAGGAGTAATTGCTTATAATATTTAATTGGAAAAAAGGAAAAATAGGAAAAGGTGTATAAGGGTCTTATATTTAGGATCAGAGAAGTAATTACTTATAATATTTAATTGGAAAAAAGGGAAAATAGGAACAAGGTATTAAATACTCTAAATATTATCAAAGCGAATTTATATTTTGGACCAAGTAATGCAGGGAGAATAGGACATATATCGTGGGCCGGAGGGTTATATGACAACATAGGAAATTCAGGGCAATAAGAAAGTTTCACAGTTCTCACCATACCCGTAAATATCGTCACTGGGTTAGCTATATCAAGGCATGGCAAGATCCCTTGCATTAATAATAGGCAGAGGCAAGAATATAGTGGTGATCTCAATTCAAACTCATAAAATCCAGAAGATATTAAATTGGGAATAAATTAGATACCTCTATTTAAGTTGTTTGCAGTCATTTTCTCTAAAGTGAAAATTTCTGTTTGCAACTCAGTGCCCCATGATTAAACCAACAAAAAGAATCATACACAAATTATGTGTAACTGAAAGGAAAAATTGTAAAATTTAACATCCCATTAACTGTCCAAATAGGGCTTACAAGTTAATTCTCCCAAACTTTCCATTCAGCTTACAAATTGATTGAACAGCCAGTTCTTACATTGGACTCGTAAGTATCAAAACTGTAAAAGTTAACTCTTCCAAACTTTACCGAGGCCTAACAGCCTAATGCTTGTAAATTTCGTTGGCTAAATCAACTAAATTCCCTGCTTTGGAGCAAAGATTTAGGAGACGAGTAACGGGAATTGAACGAAGAAAAAAGCAGCAAAAAAGGAGATACCCTAGAAGATGGAAGATGGTTGAGCTCATCTATGGCGATTTCGTGAGTCTTCAGTTCCTTCAAAAGACCGACTTTGGGATCAGCAGCTGCACTTGTCTTGTTGGTTAGGCCCAGGGACGAAGACGCTTCGAATGCCATTTTCACCGAGTGATGCAAGAGTGCGACTACTGGCACGGGACACCAAAGGTTTTATTCAACCTATAGATTGATGGATGATGTTGGTGGGTGTGTCACCCGCGGTTGTAATATTTTCCTCCTTTTTATCTAAATATTTACTAGTAAATATTTTTTTTTTGGTAAAAATAACAAAAAATACTCGTTGAATCTCAGAATTTTAAAATAAAAAATAAGTTATTTTGATAAATTTTGATATTAGAAGTAGTTAAAACTATTATAAGAATACTCAGCATCACCTATTTATCTTTTTAAAATTTAACTATTATTTTTTTTTGAAAACTTGTTTTAGGCAATAACTTTATTAAACTATTTTACAAAAATAAAAGCAGAAACACACAACTCTTATATTTCTGAACTTTTATTTTTCATCTTTTAAATAGTGAGTTTGCTTTTCTCTGGAGTCTTCTAATCTATATTGATGCATGCAATGACCAAAATGAAATATGTTCTATAAGATTTTAAGGAAAAAAACCCAACAAAATTCAATAACCATCTCCCACTAATTTTTAATCGTTTCTTTTAATCAATTTACAGAATTAATTTTATAAATCAACCGAACAAAATTCAATAACTAGTTTCCAATCAATTTTATAATAAACAAAAGATTAGACAAGGAAAATTTTAGCTGTCACCATATCAAACGATAATCTGGAAATTGTTGGATATTACCCTCGTTTCAAATATGTGAGGTATTTTATTAAATTCTAAAAATAATTAATATTCTTTATATAAATTATTATTAGTATTTTGTAAAATGCCTCACACTTAGGTTCCTTGTAAGCTCTTAATTAACTTGTAATCGTCATGAAACCTTTTTGCCGAATTTTTTTTTTTTTAAAGAATTTAGTATAATTTTTCCTAATATTTTTGCACTATTCATTCCCAATGGATCATACAACAATGGTTTCTTGGAATACATTACTTGGCCCAAAAATAACGAATTGAGAAAACTTTATTAGAGGGCCTTAACCCCTTGCGCAAAAGAAAGCCCATTAAACGCAAAGGAAAGCCCATTAAATAAAATATTTGTATCAAATTTCTTATATTTATTATGTCAAATTTTTTATAGTTATATGTCTTATTTTTTATATGAAATTATTGTTTGATGATAATATTTAAAAAATAGGAAACATGATCATATATGATTAAAAAAACTGATATAATGAATATAAAAAACTTGAATTGAGTATTGTCCTAAATGACTCTCTGCTGGCAACGCTGAAGTATGGGTTAGTGTAGGAAATATTCCGGGGGGTAGCCAACACAAAAGCCATAAGGAACAATTAATGGAAGAGAACCTACTGCATAAAGCTTTGCTTATATAGAAGATCAAGATTTTGTTTTCAATTCTACTGATACGAGAGGAACAGCTTATGGTGAACGTAATTGTCAGCTTCAATTTTTCAAGAGAAAAAGAAGAAAATAGAAGTACATTCTTAGGCATAGAAGTTAAAAAAGATGGCCAAAGAATTGATGAAGAATGGTACGATCATTCAAGCAGATGGCATCACACATATATTCCAGGTGGGAGCAAAATTTTTAGCACAGACAAATTTGATTTCATATTCGCATAAGTCTTGAGACTACTGGAAAATGACTGAATGAGCAACTCATGGTTTAGCTACTGTTCTAAAGCCAAAACCAGATTCTATTGAAAAGACCTTTCTGGTTGCAAACTCTACCTCTCATCTTGAGGACAAGGTGTAGCTTTTAGGGGAGGGTAATGGTAGAACCATCTTAGCTAGCCATACCTAGCAAAAGAAGCATAGGAAGATGCAAGCAAAAGGAAAAGCACACTTTCCAGGGGTCAAGTAGTATACTTTAAGACTTCCACCACTTTAGAGAAAGAAGCTAAAAGTTAGAATGGCTCTAGAGGTGCTTTAGACCAATCTTTTGTCAAAGGATCTTTTGGGGACTGTGTTGGTTACTTTCTGGCTTATATTAGCCTTTAGTTTCTTTGAATGGGGAGGACTTGTTTTGCATTCAAGTGGGGTATGGAGAGGACTGGCCTCTTAAAAGCCAGGTTAAGGATAGAAACAGAGAGTATTTCTTCATCATACTTATATGTATTTCAGTATGTTAGTGAGTTGAGTGTTCTTATGTGTGAGTTGAACAAGTGATATCTTGTATTGTAACAAGTGGTTGTTTGGCGTCAATATTAGTTTCAACTCTATTTTCCTATTGTTCTACCTTACTTCCTATCATTTGTTATCAAAGCTTTTGATATATTTAACTGGGCTGGTTCTCCCACCTTAACAACTAGCTTTTGGGGTAGGATTCCCCATCCTACTTAGGTATATATCCATTAATTGGCATCAAAGCCAAATTGTTAATAGCTCCGAAGAAGGCTACTCATGGAGGGTTCTAACTGGCAGGTTATAGAGTAAAGTGTCATGAAGTGCAGCTGTCGAGATGTCCGCTTTCCATCAGGACCAATTGATAATGGGGTATTCAAGTGGGTTGATTCCCCAACTTCAACAGCTAGTTTTTAGGCTAGGGTTCCTCATCCCACTTAGATACCCATCAATTAGTATCAGAGCCAAGCTATTGACGACTCAGGAGATGGCTACCCATGGAGGGTTCTAATTGGTACGATGCCTAATGAAATGCCATGGGGTGTAGCCATTAAGACCTCAACTATCCATAGGGGCTAAATGATAGAGACTTGGTAGTATGAGATCCTAAGTCCCACATTGAGTATAATGGGATGCTTAATAGAGTATTTATAACTTTTGGTATACGGTTTCCCTTCATACTTAAGTACCTGTTAGATTTCTAATTCTTTTTTTTTTTTTTTCAAATCTGTATCTAGTTAAGAATAATAATTCAATCTTTTAGCCCTTTAATGTCATTCACCCTATAAGATATGGGATAAGTTGCTAATTGTTACAAATAAAACCCACTACCTTCAGTCCTAAATATCCTAAATATAAGAAATAAACATATCAATCCACTTTGTCTCATAAATTTATATTTTCTTCTTTAAAATATCCTTATTGATTATTCATGGTAAATGAGTTTTTATCAATGACATTTGACGTTGAAGATTTCCGAGCATTGCACTTAGAAAGGTTCTTCTCCGTCCATCATCCTACTTCAAAGTTTCATTAGCTCGCCTATAGCAAAGTTGAATTGTGGTATCCTTGGCTAATTGAACTCCCCAGAAGAGAATAAAACGGCCGGAGGCATACCCGCACATGACTAAAAAAGTTATTTTAAAAAAACCGACATACATTTATTATAAATAATTAAATAACTTAACTAATTTGAATCCTACCTTACACCCATATCATAAAGATCAAATATCTTTTTGGATTGCACTCCAAAATTCAATCAAAGATTAATTTATCCAATAAAAATAAAACCAAGTAGATCAAATAGTCACAAATACAACATGAATTATGATTCACACGCTTATAGATCAAGCAAACAATGAAGAAATTTTGAAGACTGTAAAATATAAATTTTCCCATACCCGTAAATTAGGGGAGCAGGGAATGTAGGTCAACGAAAAATCACATGGCTATCTTTACATTTGCCTAAAACAGGGATCTTCTGAAACCATGCACTAACAATACTTAATTTGAATAATAATCATTCCGAAATTAAAGCTATAATTCAAACAGGAATCTATGTTTTTTTTTCCATAAATTTAAAATAGTTTTTCATAAAGGTTGAATGTCTTCAAACTAAAATGTATAGAAGTTTAAAAATTATAAAATTATATAAATTTGACAAAATAAATAAAAAGTTAATATAATCTTTGATCCTTGAATTTTGCTTTCATTTTGGTTTTAATCTCTCAAGTTTTAAATCATAAGTTCTAATCCCTCTAGGGGCAAAATGGTTCAAGTTTTATTGGATTATGGGGACCAATAAGAAATTTGAAAGATTAAAACCTATGATTTAAAACTTAAGAGACCAAAATCAAAATGAGAACAAATTTGAAGGGCTAAAATTTATATTAACCCATAAATAAAATATATGTAACTTGTTTATTTTTCTTTCAATGTCTTTAACTTGCAGAAAACGAAGTACGTCTGAGAACATATGAGCGCAGCCAATGTAGTAAAGCATTGGGATTATACATAAATATATATATATATATAGAGAGAGAGAGAGAGAGAGAGAGAGAGAGAAAGTTTAGTCTAGAAATATATGAAACATAAATTTCGCAATCATTAAAGTTAAATTTACATTCATTGGTATTATAAAACATGCCTATAAATAAATTTTTGTATGGTTTTTCTTTTAAAAATTCATTCTTTCAATTTAACTTATTAGCTTCTCATTATTTTTATAATTATAAATAACATCACAATTACATATTGCGTTTAATAAAATAAAATATATAAAGAGGCTTATATTTTCCAAGAAGAAAACATTCACATTAGTGCATACCTGATATGATTATTTCCTTTTAATTGATCAATTTAGCTTGCACAAGGGAAATGTGGTTTTTGGTATAATCTATTTGCATTTGGCCTTTGATCGAATTGCCTCTTCTTTCTTCACCAATATGCATTTGAGTATTTTCCAAAGGTGCAGCTCCAGAATCGACACGTCTTAAATAAGATGTCTGTCCACAAGAAGGAACAGACATGTCAAAGGGATTTTTTTTTTTTTTAACACACTCACGTGCAATATTTACAACAGAATGTACTTCCTTTTCTCTACTTAATTCTTCTTGTGCTAATTTTTCACCTTATGCAGAGTCACAAAGAGAATCTTTCCCAAGCTCTTAGCCTATTGTGTGAGACAAGATATCATCACGAACAGAAGATAAATAAAAAAAAAGTACGATAATAATGTGGGGGAAGTGAGCTATCAACAAACAATGATTCAATACTACACACA